GCTTCCGAACTCGAATGGCGTGACTTCGTAGGAAGTGAGGTTGAAGCCATTGGTGGCGTTGCGGCCGGGCCACATGATGTTCTGGATGCTAGGCGACTGGCCTGGGATGACCTCGGAGAGAGCAAGGATGGGCATTGGCGCCTCTCCGCGGGAGAAGACGGTGTTCTGAGCCGTGAGATCGGAGAAATTGCCGTATGTCTTGTTTTCTGGCAGATAGACGGCCCAGAACTTTCCAAAGGCATCAGCAACGGAGACGGGGAGGCCTTGCTCCGCCTTTGCGCCCATATCCTCGAAGATGTCCTGAAGGTATTGGTCCTGGTTGTCATCCTTGCCCTTGGTGTAGTCGACGGTGAAGTTGATCGCCTTTCTGAGTTCTGCGATGGAAACGAAGTCGTTGGCGGCACTGGTAGTCATACGTCAGTCACCACAGAAATGAGAGAGATAGGGAAGCCTCACAGGGTGCTGACTGTGAGAGCTCCTCCGCCACTAAGACCAGTAATGTACGACAAGACCTGCGTCAAACCACCCGTTTTGGCCTGCACCGCAGCTGGGTTGCGAGCGTCAAAGGCCTGCCAGATGCCGAGACCGCCGACACCCGACTGCGTGCCTCCTCCCGAGACGGAAAGGCCGACAACGGGGTAACTTGTGGTGTTGAGCTTCTGGATGTAGTCCTGGACGTTGAAGCCGTCGATGTTGGCCAACGTCAGGTAGCTGCTCAGCGCAGGAATGACCTTTTCACCGCGGCTCGCTTTCCATGAAGACTCCGGCTTTGAAAGTCCCTGGACCACATTAGAACATGTGTCACCGTCACGTTCGGATAACGTACTTCTGAAGCAGCTCTCACTCGCAGGCCGTCAGGGCATTGGCCGTAGACGGGCGCGTACGGGTCCTGCTGGGAATCGTCGTCCTGAGCGCAGGCGAGTGCTGCGCCGAGCAGGGTGCTCGCGAGGAGACGGCTGTTCGACGTGAGATGCATGCTGAGCAGTCTTTCCCAAGCTGTCAAAGTACAGACACAGGTGGAACGAGGCACCTTTTCTCCCTTCTCTGGGGATGGCCTCTGGTTTTATCCCTCCATCTTGAGAACTGCAGCTGCGTTCGTGTCTTGCAAAAGCTTGCTCGGAAGCGCTGCCCAGCAGCATGCGGGGAAGTTTGCTACAGCTCTGACGAAGACGGCTAGGCGAAGATCTGGTGGTGAGAGGCGCATTCTCGGAGCCCTCGCCGGAGCCTTGATCTTTGTGGAACTTGGGCGCTGAAGCTTGCCCCCTGCGAGCTGTCAGATCTGGGGCTGAACGCGCGAGTGCGCCGGCCCAATGAGACCGTCGACGTTGGCCGGATCGAGCTAGGTTGCACAGAGCCACCGCGTGTCATTTGGAACGGAATCCCTTGAACCCTTTGCAGGGCAAGTAGCTGTTAGAATAGGACGACAGGTACTTCTTGGGAACTTATCACAAGCACCTTGGTTGATGATCGGCTGCAGTCGATTTCATCTGAGAGATGATGTTGCAATTGGCAGGTTAAGGCATGCAAGACTGAGAAATGTGGTTACTGAGAGAAGCTGGCACATGCAGGTTGGGTTCGACAACAGCGTGCCTTTTGAGCTCTTGCTGTTCTTTCCGGGAGCTACTACTAAGTGTCTGATCGACGATCTCGGTTCATTCCTGCAAACCACTACAAGAACATCGTTCCTGGAACTAGAGCTCAAAAACCCCGACTATGCTGGGGATTGCTTTCAAAGAGTGGTTTGGTGCATTTTTAGAGGGTTGCTGTGGCTGCAGCGAGATTCTATTTCCATGCCTGCGGGGTTGCGTACTGTTGCATGCGTCCATGGCTGCTGTGGCTTGGTCGCATCGAATTCTTGGAATGCGACTAATTGATGCGGCTTGTTTTGATGCAGACGAGCAATAATAATCCATGGCGTCCTAGAAACTGAGAAGAATTGTATTTTCTGTTTGTGCTTTCCGTTCGCTGAGAATCGACCATGGCCCGCGGTTCGCATTGGTGGTTATGCAGAAGCAGGGTTCCGGTATGTCCGTCCGTACCCAACGTGAGCTTGTTAGTGGCGCAGGCAACTCAATGACTGGTGTCCGCTTCATCCGATGTCTAATTGACCTGTCAAGACATGAAAATCCAGCCTACGACTGGTTTGTCGCCCGAAATCGTCCATCCCCAACAGTACTGAGTCGTAACTTGACATGTGTCTTTGGAAGAGTGAATTAACCCCAGAAACAACGGCACCTTCCCGTCCTTTGGCGCCAAGGTACTTTCGGACCCACTTTCGATGACAAGGCCCTTCTTGCGCCGTTTCTGCCGCAGTCATGTATCCTTTCCGCCGCAGGATCATCACAACACATCCCAGTCACCATCAGACAAGGATTCGGGCCTCGTGGCGCAACGGTAGCGCGTTCGACTCCAGATCGAAAGGTTATCCGTTCAAATCGGGTCGGGGTCATTCCTTTTGCCTTTTGCAGAGGCTGTAGATGTTTCTTTTTGCTCTGGGAGTGTGTTGAGATGGTGTTGTTGACGTACAGGATTTGGTGAGCGATTTTTGCGGGTGCGGGGTGAGTACGTGGTAGGACAAGCCGGCCGGGGTAAAATAACGACCGAGACATGCTACCCGTCTGAAATCAGGTTGCTGGCTTTCTTCCTCGAGGCATAAGCGTTGATTGTAGTTATGGCATCACACCTTGTTAGGCCTGCTGCCTCGCCGGTAAATCGCGCGTGTCGAGGTCAATGACTGGTCCAGGCTTCAAATGTTGGTCTTTCCAGCATAGAAAGTCACTCTGAGCTCTCGCGGACTCTTGTGTGTTGATATATTCTTGCGGATACCGTGGTGAAATTGTGCACGATATGGTCTTGTTATGTGTCGACTGACAGGTTTCCACTTGAGGAAGGCACTGCCCTTGGGACCTTCTCCATAAACAGTAACCTCGGGACAGGGAAACCATTGCAATTACAGATATTCTCGCGTCTATTCATCATCAACGTCTCGTTCATGAAACATCTAATGTCTACTCTTTAAGTCTACTGTATCATCTAAGCCACTCTTTTGGTCTTCCCCTCTTTTAGTTGAAGTTCTCCCGGAACACACCCAACGCCACGGCTTTCCTTCGCAACGTCGACTTCGCATGCCCGTTGACACCCTCTACCGGCCCCCTCTCAAACGTGAACACCTCCTTAACACCAAGACTCTCGAGATAGTCCAGGTTGCGCTTGTAATTCGTCGCGACCTGAGCGATGCCATGGCTGTCGTCAGAGAACGTGAACTCACCCCCCATCTCGAGCCATTTCTGTAAAATTCAAGTCAGCCCCAACCACAACAGCTTGACGAAATACACCACTCACCTCAGCAATGATCCGACAAGGATACGGCTCCGCAAGGCCCTTCCTCAACGCGCTGCTGTTACACTCCAACAGACCCCCGTATCCCTTCACCACCTCCAGATTCCTCACGACCCTCTCCCACACGCCCTTCCACTTCCTCACATCCCGCGCGGGGTCCTCGCTCATCAGGCGGATCAGGTCAAAGTGGCCCACCACCTTGGGCTCCAGCGCCGTGAGCATCTCGTGCTGCTGGTCGTAGTACCGCTCGTACATGCGCTCCTCGCACCCGCCGGCCGTCTTCATCGCGTCGACGTACATCTCGCGCGAGTAGTCGATCGGCACCGCGTTGACGTGGTGCAGCGAGCCAATAAAGTAATCCACCGCCGGGTGCGCCGCGAGCGACCTGATAAAAGGCCCGTACGCGGGGCGGTACCATTCGCCCTCGAAGCCGATGAGCAGGTCGATCTGCCCCGCGTACTTCTCGCGCAGGCGCTGCGCCTCGGCAAGGTAGGCGTCGTGGCGCGGGGCGAGGATCGCGAGCGCCGCGGCCGGGTCGCCCTCCTCGAGCTCTTCCGGGTAGAGGTCCGCCGTCTCGAGGCGCGGCATGTGCTCCGTCAAGCCCATGGTCTTGTAGCCGATGCTGATGGCGTGCTGGATGATGGACTCGAGCTGGTCCTTGGCGTGGCCGGGGCAGAACTGCCCCGAGTGGGAGTGCATCGTGAACGCCATGTTGTCGGCTCTGGAGTGGGTGTTGGTGTTATGTGTTATGTGTAAGTGAAGACCACGACGGGTGCGACGTTGAGGTAGGTGTGAGATGAGATGAACCGGAGGGCGGCTGAGGTGAATGAGTCAAGGGTATGACGTCTGCAAGTCTGCGAGACACAGTTGGGGTAAAAAGAAGCAAGGGAGAAAGATTTCAACTGAGAAGAACCGCAGACAAGTTTATCAAACTCGACTGCCAGGTACCGAGATGGCTCTTGAAAAAGGTCGAGCAAGTGGCGCGCAAGGCTGTGTAATCGCCAATCAATGGTTGATAAGAGGCCAGGGCTTCCTTCGTTCCCACGAGTCACTGCGGCGGGATGCAATATGCCCCTCCAAAGCCCGAAGCCACTTTGCTGCATGGTCACTGAAAATATTTTCCCCACTGGACTGGAACATTTTCGGGCCCCGACGAGTGGCCGTAGCAAATCACTGACGCTGGCACGTCCACGTTTGACGTGCAGGAATTCCCAGCACCCAGATCCCTCCCGCATGCCAAGCTTCGCATGTCCGCGGGGATCGTTGCATGTCACGCTGAATGCTGAATGGTCACTTCTGTCTGGGTCTTTAGGTGCTTGGATTTAATTTTCTCTCCTTGGGAAAAGGTCGAGGTGGTTATTACAAGTAGCGTACAAGAATGGTAACTCTAGACCAGGACAAAAAAGACCAACTCGGGACGGTGGGAGGGTATCATGACAGGCAGACTCGAAGCCTGCGACCGGCTCGCAGGCCAGGAAAATCCTTTTAAACAAAAGGCAGGGCTCTTCTACATCGAATCAAGGGAAAATAAGACAAAACGAATAGGCGTTCTCAAAGTGCGGAATTTTTGAGAGGATCCAAGTCAATCAATTCTCGACAAAAGTCCTCTTTCTAAACGCCAATGGGATTGGGATAATCCCCATTTGAAATTCGCCGCTGCTCTACTTCTGCGGCGTCTCGGGGATTTCCCAGATGGATTTGGCAGACTCTCCAGCCTCAGGCTTCACAGCAGGCTCTTTCTTGACACCAGGAGATTTGATGCCAGGTTTGACGCCAGCAGGTTTGGGACCTGAAGATTTGGCGGCGGGAGGGCCGTTCTTCTTCGGCTGCGCGAAGGGAATGGTCGACTTTGACGTGAAGACAGGAAGGTCTGCGCGCTTCATCTTAGCCAGCGGTGCCTTGGACGATGATGCTCTGGGCGGTGACAGCTTGGCGGGCGATGGCTTAGTCGGCGACTTCTTGGCCGGCGGCACCTTTGATGGTGACTTTGCCGGTGATGATTTGACAGGTGTATTGGTGTTGGGCGGCAGCCACTTCAGTGGCTCTTGCGGCGTCATGGTGACTGGTTCCGGACCTTCCGGCTGGTAGTTGATAAACACATCAGTGCCCGACGGCGTCTGCACTCCCGGCGACACGACTAGCGAACTGGCAGGCAGCTCGACCTGAAGGGGATCCGACACGTTCGCAGACGCCTGCTCAATGATGGTCTTTGGCTTTGGAGTCGGCGCCAGAGGATCCGGCGATGACATGTAATCCCGCTCCGATGGCACCGGCCCCACAGGTGGCGTAGCAAGGGGCTCGTTCTCGGGAAGAACCATGGGAGCTTCTTCCTGAGGGGGAGTAATGATGGGCTCTTGGAACTCATAAGGGGGAGTGTTGACCGGTGGCGGTGTGACGGGCTGCTGTTCTTCAACAACGGGTGGCTCGCTGAGAACGAGCGGCTCTTCGGTGATAGGGGGCGTTTCGGAGGAAGTCGCGTCAACAGACGGTGCCTCGACAAAAGGAGCCTCGGCAGAAGGAGCCTCGACAGAGGGAGTCTCGATAGAAGAAGCCTCAATAAAAGTCTCGACGAAAGGCGCATCGATAGAAGGAACCTCTACAGCAGGTGGCGTCACTGCCGTCGTCTGCCCAGGCTGTGTTGCCTGCGCCTCAGCTGCTCGTGCCGCCTGCGCAGTCTGGGCTGCCTGGGCTGCCTGGGCTGCTTGAGCAGCCTTTGCCCGCTCTTCCTTTTGAGTCTTGGTGATCAAGTTGATCTTGATCTTCTTCATACCGGCAGTGAGCTTGTCCATGTCGTCCTCAGATGCGGCCGCTGGTGTTGCCTTGGGCTTAGGCGGCTGAGACGGTTGACCGGGTTGAGGAGGGGTGGTCTTTGCTGGGACAGCAGGCTTCTTCACTGTTCGTGTGGTCTTGGGAGCTTCCTTCTTCGCTGCAGGAGCTCTTGTTTTCTTTACGTTCAGAGAAGGCCCGGCGGTGGTCCTAACACTCATCGACGATTCGGGGCGAATGGTCATCGAGGTATCAGGACGCATGGTCATAGAAGTCCCGGGACGCATGGTCATTGACGTATCAGGTCGTACGCTCATCGAGGTGTCAGGACGGTAAAGACCTCCGTTATTCTCGTATGGCGCTGCAGTCGCCGTAGAAACCACAGATGACGCAGCACTAAGACGTCTACCGGGTCGTTTGGCTGCTCCATTGGCCTCAGAGGGGATACCTCGGGCGTTGGCCTAGGAATCATGTTAGCTAGGGGTTCTTGGATGCATCTCAGAAGTGACAAAGTCTACCTTATCCGACGAAATTGCGGCAGAACCGGCCACCGTCCTCCGCCTGTTCTTGCCCTTATCATCTTCTTCTGCGTACGTCACGGGTTTGCGCTCACGCAGCGACATGCGAGAAGTCGGCCTGCTTTCTGTAGTAACAGGGGCGGGAGGCGCTGGCGGCACGAGGTCAGGGTTGAGAATCGACTGACGATCTCTGCGCGCCCTCGTTGCCTCCGCGTTCAGATCCTCCGGTTTGCAGCTATCAACCTGGCGGTCGGAGGGGATGAGCAATCTGCTCAGCTCATGAGCCGCGATGGTCCAATGAACGTCGGGAGGAGGAGGCGTTGGCGGTCGGGAGTATACCATGCCGTGACCAGAGGCCATCCGTCTCAACCGCGTGGGATCCACGGCCTTACCGATAGATGCCGCCGTAGGTGTAGAGTAATTTCCTGGCGTAACCTGGCGTATCATCTTCGGGCTGGCTGGACGGTTTCCCATCGCCACCTCGAGCTCGTCAAGCTCTGAAGCCGCCCACCATGACGGGTTGTAGGGGTGCAGCGAAGGGGAGGATGACTCTGTGGCCATGGGCTGGCCCTCACGAATCGCTCCTATCCTCTGTCCCATTTCGTAGCCCAGTGATGAGCGGCCCCTGGATTGCTCTCCCGCCGTCTGGTCCCCTGAGAGCCCGCTCAAGTGGCTGAAGATACCAGAGTACAGCGCGCGGTCGCTGTAACCTCCCTCGAGGACACTGATGACACGACCATCCACACTCAGCCCCTCCTCTGCAGCAAGTTTGACGACATCTTGGGCAATTCGGGCGTAGAATTCGGTAGGCACGTTCACATTATGACGCTGCATACCCTTGGTTTCCCACTCGCTGGCGTCAAATCCTGCGGAAAAGAAAATAGCCGCCTTGGGCGGCAAGTTGAGAGCACGCACACGAGCAGACTGTGTCTTCAAGTAGCTGCGCGTCTTTTCGAGAATGACGGAGTACTTGGTCTCATACAATTCCCAGAACTCGTCCGGAGAGTCCCACGATCCCAAATGAACGTTCCACATGTTTTGTCCATGAGCATTGTCAATGCACAAACTTGCGTTCTTCACCTTCTCCTCATCGCCCATCTCACAGGGATACGAGTTGATGTCATGGAGACTGAAGTATCCGATGGAGGCCTTCTTCCACGCAGCGGCGTTCTTGGCCATATTCACTCCTCGGGAGTTGTGCGCCCAGGTGATGGCTTGAGAGCCATCACCATGGTGGAGATCGAAGTCGATGATGGCAGCATGCGTCAAGCCGTGGTTCAAAATGGCATGCATGATTCCAACATGGACGTTGTTGACCCAGCAGAAACCCGAGGGATAAGAAGCCGAGCAATGGTGCCCTGGCGGCCGTACTGCAACAAATGCTCTGCGGGGGCCAGAAGTAAAGACCCTGTCGACGGCTTCGCATACAGCGCCCAGCGCACCTTCAAAGGCTTCCTGGGACTCCGCGCAGAGGTAGAGATCGCCCTCATGGAATTTGGCAGGCGGGCCCTCCGCGCCTCGGTTCATCTCCGGTCGCTGGAGCTCTTTACCTCCCATGGACAGCTTGGCCTCTGCTACCTCGCACATCGTCTTGAGCTCCTCCATCCACTTGGTCCCATGCACGTTGGTCACCGCTGGTGAGTTGAGAGACAGCCTGCGTTCGGTCTTGTAGATGCGGAACGGAATGTTCGGAATGTCGGAGGGATCCAGACTCGGATGGAGAGGGTAGGAACCGTCGCAGTGTCGCTCACCCAGTCGCACGTACGCCATTGCTACTCCCAACACACCGGCCTTGATTCTCTCTGGTCGCTCGACGATGGTGCTCAGGGCTGCCTTGGAGGTCTTGGGCCGGGAGAAGCGGTGTCCGTAGCAGGCATCGTGCAGAATGACGACGGTCTCGGTGCCAAGCGTGGAAAGGGGGGAGTGGTGTGTCGCAAGTTCGGTCTTGAAGTAGTCGCGGGCAATCGTGTTCGCCGTAGGGGGAGGCTTGATGTACTCAGGGGGACTCGTTCGTAAAGGGGATTTGGCAACAGGCGAGGAGGCATGTGCCATGCTCGTCCGTCGCCCGCTCACGGAGTGCAAGGAGCTTGTAGAGGACTTGCGCTGGAGAGTGGGCGTCGCAGATCGCTGCGGCAGCGTCGGGGTGGAGGAACGGGACCGGGACAGTTCTCGTGCGAGGGAGGGGCTCCGGGAGGGCATTCGCGGGCTCGGGGCCGGAGAGGCTCTGTTGACAGCTGGTCTCATTGGCGACAAGGCACTCGGGGTGCGGGGAGAGTTGGCGACAGGAGAGCCAGTCGAAAGAGAAAGCTGCCGGAGCGAATGCGACAAGTCCTTTTCGGCATCGGGGGGTGTGTTCAACATCGATTGGCGCTGCGATGGCGCTCTATTGTAAGGAGAGGCCATGCCTGACGCGCGAGTCCCATGGATCGTGCAGAATCTCGCAGTCGTGCAGCAGGACTAGGCCGGACTAAGAAGATGGTAAAAATAAGGGTTGACGTTGGAGAATGGGAGACCCGAAAGGTGTTGTTTTGGGCTGGAATTGTCAACTTTCGGCTTACCGTAGTGACAGGGTAGAGTGGCAGGGTCTCTGTCCAAATACGTCAGGCGAAGGTGGGTGTGTCATTTGGTTGTTGACCGCCCGCCTGCCCGCCAGCGCATCGTCAAAAAAAAAAGTCGCGTCCACTTTGTGTACAAACACGCGTCATAACCCGTTGCATAAATCCACTGCATCACGTGGGGCACCAGCAACAACAGAAGGGGAGGCGGGGCAATCCCTCCCATTTCTCGAATCTCTCTTGCCGGGAGCAGCCACTTATTTTGATGGAGTTCCGACGGCGCCATGTGGGGGAATGATCTTCACCGGGACAGCGCAGCTTTAATCACTTCATTGCGGGAGTCTGTTTCCTTTCTTCTGCTTCTCCCATCCCACACTCGAGTCTCTCGACTCTGAATCTTCTGCAACACCGACTCAAGTGAGACCAACGAGACCCAAATTCTTCAACATCCCACATTTCACGTAGCGGCCCCCATATTTTTGACACAAGATCTGAGCACGTTCCGATTCACCACACTGCATCTTGGAGCAATGACCACGAGCTGGTGTGGGCCGCCTGTATGGCTCCGGCTCCGATCGGGCGACAAAAACGACTTGATCTCGGTTGCCGGCAAGGGGCTCGATTTGTGGTCAATGAATGGCATGGGTTGATACCGATGCAACAGGAGTGGCTCTTCCATAAGTCTGGGGTTGAGCTGTGCAAACCTACATAAGGTCGGAGATGTGCATGCACCTCAAGGGGGGAGCTTGTGACTCTGAGAGCTGTAATGGAATGGTGAGGCCGACCAGGAGTTGACTGGGCGGCGCACTCCTTTTCATATACCTAAGATTTGGGCAACCTGTAAGTCTAGCTTGCGCCTTCATAATCGCCCGGCATAGCCACTGCCGCCCATCGTCGGTCGGTGGTTTTACATGCGCGGTGGCGCGGGTCTCTGCCTCTACACAGTCGAATTTCTGCACTTTCGTGGCAGTTTCCCAAAACCATGCTTTGGGACATTGGTACAGGTCAACCTGATGGTAAGCCTGACCCATATCACATGACTTGTTCTTTCTACGCTTGGGTTCGTCGGTTTTCAAGGTGTACCGCCTGCTAGCCGTGCAGGTTTCTGGTCATGGAGTGACCATCTCCAACCCGATCATCTTTCTGCATCGCCTCTACCCGCATTATCTGCCTTACAGTCATTGGTCTGCCATGACTTGGCCAAATTGCATACGGCCTGTGCATTTCGCCCGGTTGCCTTGAGCGAATGGGTGGCATTACAGTCGGGCGTCGAGGTCTTCGAGGGCCAAAATTGATGGAACCTTTCATATATGGCAGCAGCGCCGATCTTGGATATCGTTGATGTGTGAATAATCTTGATTGTATTAGCATTAGTTCTTCGTGCCGACAACACTCAAGAGCAACATACTTCAAAATGTTCATCACTTTCTTTCCTTCTAGCTCTCTTAGTCTCCTAGGCCTTTTCTTGGCCTCGTTTATCGATGCCCAGAGAACCGTCACTCGCGACGCATGTGCCATCGCGAGGTCCGTCGACAACTCTTGCACCGCAAGATTCAGCATAGACCGAGCTAAAACCGGGCTTGATACGACCTGGACAGCGCCCCCGGTGATAACTCACGACGGAGTGGACGTCGTCAGATGTTTCTGTTGTCTGGAAGAGGCGCCCCTGACACCCGTCTGGTCCTCATGTGCAGCGCAAATCGAGACCGCAAGCCCAGAGAAAGACCGTGAGTCATCATGTTTTTTCTTGGCTTGCTCGACAGTCAAGCTGATGCAAAAGACATGTAGAGTTCCTCCAAAACCTCCAAGACTGTCTAGGTTTCGAGGAGTGCCGGGTAGAGACTGCGACTCCGGCAGCCTGTCACAGCATGAGCGACTGGGTCATGGGATGCTCTTCGCATGTCAAGCCGGAGACCATGTCATCAAGTGAGAGATTCTCGCGCATGGAAGAATGCCTTTGGTATGTATTGCCTTTGGCTGCAACATTGAGATCCTTGACTAACAAATGGCAAGCCCCACGTCCGCTCCAGGTGCCTTCAATAACGCACACGAAGCTTGCGGCAACTGGGCTTGGATTCACAACCCTGAGTATGGTTCCTGTAAGACTTCTCGTTCCCAGAATCCCGGTTAGAATACTTCGCGTCTATGGCTGACCCGTTGTTTGCTTGTAACAAAGCTATGCAATCCATTGCTCCGTATTGGTGTAACTCGAATCTGGACACCACGATTTACTCGGCCACGGCCACGAGCTCTGTCTCCTTTGAGGAGTTATTCAGCACCGCTTTTGCATCAAAGTCCCTACCATCGACTTCAAACCCCTCTGTCCCCACCTCTACGATGAACTCCGCAATACCATCAAACACGGTAGTAGGCCAAGCCACGAACTCGTCTGCACAGCCGAACACAAGCATTGTCGTTGTCATCGCTGTAGTTGTAATCGTGTTCATGATGGTGGGAGGCATTGCCATTTGGTCGAGCGTGAAGCGTCCACGGGATGATCACGGCATACCCATCTGAGGAAGGTCTGGGGGAAAGGGGGTTCCGGAAAATTGTAGTTACAACAGGACGCAATACCAACATTTTGTGGCTTCGCGGAAGTAGTGTTTTGTTGAAAGCTGCTCATATTATTCGCAAAGACAGGAGCTCAGGTTCGCTCCTTAACTGTCTCTTCGGGGTTCCAAGACTACTGTCATCCCTACAAGTCTTGTCAGTCCATGAACTAAATCTACACAGCAAGGTTACTTCATCAGTCTCAGCACCTTCTACTACGATACTTTGGATACAATGCAACGCCAACAATCAGTGGAAGGTTTTTTCGTGGTGGAACGTTCATTCGGATCGAATCAAGGCTCTCAATCCGCTTGACAAGACCAGTGTTGTGATTCATGGACTGTGAAGTAGACATTTCACTCGTATCGATCAACTAAGTGAATGGATAACCCTTTCTACCAGTAGTATAAGATGTTGCGGAAACTTTCTGATACAACAGCATGTTCATAAAGCAGAGTCACATATGCAGCAGTCAGCACCGGGGTCCAAAATCGCAAGCAGCAAAATGGCAGCCAGTCTCGACGACGTCCCCGAGATCGCGGATACCTGCAAACTGATCCTTGCTCGCACCAACAAGTTTTTGGCCGACAAAGACAGGAACCCCAGAGTCGTAAGGCCGAGCCCCTCTTGTGTTCCCCGTGATATCTCGAAGCAAGTCCTGTTAACAAGCCTCACCCTTTCTACAGACAGACGAGATGTGGCGACCCGCCAACTGGGCCATCGCCGAAACCACCCGCACAATCCCAAAGATCAAGGCGACTATCCACTACATCCGAGAGATCGCCGACGCCGAGCGCAAGAAGCTGCCCACCATCAATTACACCGCGTGGACGCAATCCATGAAACGGGCGCCGGGGGACCCGTACGCGCGAGGACCTCCTGGCGACGATGTTCTGATCAACGACATCCCCCGCCTCGCTGACAGGTTCACGGCGCTTGCGGAGCGGTTCCGGGAGCTCGAGGAGAAGCCGTACAGACGCGGCGATGTATGTTTGACAGATCTTGGGCAATCTCTTTGGCGGGGCAGTGTACTGATTTTGCCGATAGGATGTCATGGCGGCCTATGACCGTGTCAATGTGGTCTTGATGGAGTGCCGGCTGGTGAAGAAGTGGCTGCCGACTGCTTTGGATGCCGTTACTTACATTCTGACGGGGGAGAGTCGTGAATTCCATTCGGACTCTGAAGATTCCAGTTGAAGTGAGATGCCGGACTTGATCAGGTGACAAGCGTATTTCTGCAAGCATGGTCTGCAGGTTTAGTGAGAGACGATACCCTTCATAGCAAACTTGATTTTAGGTGACACATCAGATCATAGATACGCCGCTGTTGGTTGTCTTGAAATTTGGGCTTTATTCTTGTTATTTTACAGAACCATACATAGTACAAGGCGCGCTTGCCCACGTCCGCCAGAGAAGAGGGTTCTAATCTTCAATCATCCTGGGCATATTTTTCATCTCCTTCATGGCTACGACTCAAGACAAGTCAATGCCATAGGTCTCCTTGCTTCCAGTCTGCTCAGGCTTGTACGGCTGCTGAGGTGTGCGGAAGTACGGCGTGGGGGCGGCGGCAGCGGCTCCCCTGAGCCCCGCGAACGGCGCCCTCGGCTCAGCTACCGGAATCTTGGAGACGTCCTTGTCATTGTAGATTTGCTCCTTGCCGGTCATCTCTTTGAGGACTGATTGCGACTCCCCTTCGGCAGCGTCAAGGCCAATCAGAATGCGGCCAACAGAGCTCATCCATGCCGACACCGGCTTGACGTAGGCCTTTGCACCACCCTTCACATCGGGATCGAAAGACGTGATGCCAGCAATGCGGTTCTTGTGGTTGCCTCTGAACGACCTCTCGTTAAAGGCGTTGTCGCCCAGGGGCACGTCGGTGACGAAACCGGCCACACCAAGCTTGGCATGTTGGGTGCCCTGTCGCGGCGCGATGATACGCGCCAACACGGGCGTGTGTTCCGCCTGCGGTCCGTAGACGGGGTGGTTCTCGGCAAAGGCCGAAGTACGCAGGTAGGAGATACCGGCGGAAGGGTGGGACATTGGCGGGCCAACTTCTGCCCATGTGCTAGGCCGGGTGTTCTGGGTCACGTCGACGAAGTTTTTCGCTGTGGGGGGTGGTTGGAGAGGAGCAAGATCCAGGAATTTGCTGATGTGCGTGAAGAGAAGTACGCGGTCGGCACGTATCTTGCGCTGGTATTGAAGGACCTGGTCCTCGGTGATGTCCTTAGCTGTGACCGGCTCCGGGGCCTCGCTGCCTCTGTCGAGAGCAGCTTGACGTCTGTCTTTGTTGATGTCTTCGGCGAGAACCTCCCTGAGATAGTTTCGGAACTCCTCGCGCTTGCTACGGACGCTCTTGCGCAAGTATCGGTCGAATTCGCCCTCGGTCAGACCAGCAAGCCAAGGACCCTGGAACTTCCACCTGTTGTCCTCGGCGGCACCGTCCTCCAGTGTTGTGAAGTCATGCTCGTCCTCGAAGACGGATTTGGGAGCGGCATTCAGGGTTCCAAGGCGAACCCTGTTCGAGGTGGGTAGTGAGACGGGGAGGTTCATCTCCTGGAACTTTTGGAGAGTGATGGCGTGGTCGGCGGCGGAATTGTAGTCGGTGACTCCCTCGATGGTATCGATCTGTTTGACTCGCACAATTGGCGTAGAGGTCTTGATCGTCTTCTGGATGGGAAGGGAGCGCTTGAAACCCCAGTCGCCGAGTTTCCTCGAGGACTCGGGGGTAGTGATGGCTTGATGTGTGGGATAATCGGTCGTCGCGCTGGGGGAGAGGCGGCGAGCGACGGCACCAGCCTCGCCGCCGGGTTGCGGAAGCGGATTCGGAATGGTGAACATCCGCGAGGAGCGCAGAAGCGCTCCTCCGGGCGTCAATCGGGCAGACATTGCGGCTGTCTGAGCACGTCGTCGGAGGCTCGGTCGTCAATCGCAGGTATCACAAAAACTGGCGTCGTTGCGGGAGAAATTTCAATTGGAGTAGGCCGGAATATGCCGGAGCCGTCTGATTGGACAACAGCTACCCCTGCTGGCAGTGAAGCGCTGGGGCCCGGGGGTCGTCGAGTCCAGGCGCGGGACGGGAAGGGTCAACGACTGCGAAGTCGGGTACTCAGGGTCGGTTCAAGTCTCCTACATCGTTAATCTTTCTCTACGACTTCTACGAAAACTTTTACTCGGTTCAATGAGCCATCATCAGTTTTACTAAGAGTTTTCTGGTTAATATATCACATGCCTTGAGACGCCAATCGAGTGCAGTGACAGTGACGAGTACCTGTTGGTTCCCCACTAAGACGTCCAGCCCATGCACACCCCACCACGAATCACAGGTGCCTTGTTAGGAAACTGCTCCTTCTAGCGCGGGCATCGAATTTAGCAACTGACATTTTCCAACCACACTCTCACTCGACTCTCTCCGGCAGCTTGCGGACTGCACGATCGTCTATGTGGGCAGCGAAAAGGATGGCGTCAACCACTGTCGGGTCCTCGCCCGCGCTCACTTTCAAGCTCGTTGCTCGCTGTTCAGTAGGTAGCCATGCGATTGATCGCATGACTCTGCCCTGGCTGGACGGTGCTAACAAACTAGGCTAGACGACAAGAGCTCGCGCATCCATCCTGACGCTTCCTCATGGTTCGGTCCAGCTTCCCATGTTCATGCCGGTCGCAACCCAGGCTTCGCTCAAAGGCTTGACCCCCGAACAGCTCGAAGAGACCGGTTGCCGGTTATGTTTGAACAACACCTACCATCTTGGCTTGAAGCCTGGACAGGAGGTTCTCGATGCCGTGGGCGGGGCGCACAAGCTCCAGGGATGGAAGCACAATATCTTGACGGATAGCGGAGGGTAAGAATGCGAAGGATCTGCGTGCAAACGGAACTGCGACTGACGTCCTACAGCTTCCAGATGGTCAGTCTTCTCAAGTTGGCCCACATCACGGAGGAGGGCGTGCGCTTCCTTAGTCCGCATGACGGCTCGCCGATGCTTTTGACGCCGGAGCACTCGATGTCTCTGCAGAACTCGATTGGAAGCGACATCATGATGCAACTGGACGATGTTCTGGTCACAACATCTCCGGATGCCGCCCGCATGCGCGAGGCCATGGAGCGCAGCGTACGTTGGCTTGATCGCTGCATTGCTGCGCACAAGAACCCCACCACTCAGAATCTCTTCTGTATCATCCAGGGTGGTCTCGACCTTGAAATGCGCCGCGAGTGCACCCGCGAGATGCTCGCCCGAGACACCCCTGGAATTGCTATTGGTGGACTAAGCGGTGGTGAGGCCAAGGCCGACTACTGTCGCGTTGTCGAAACGTGCACCAAACTGCTGCCTGATCTCAAGCCGCGCTATGTGATGGGAATTGGCTACCCGGAAGATTTGGTAGTGAGCGTTGCGCTGGGCGCAGACATGTTCGACTGTGTCTGGCCCACGCGAACAGCACGTTTTGGTAATGCAATCACGAAAGCTGGTGTCCTCAACATCCGTAACTGGAGGTACGAGCATGACTACGGTCCTATCGAGGAGGGCTGTGGTTGCATGTGCTGTAGAAGGGGCGAGGGCAGTTTGAATGTCACCCGGGCGTTCATTAACCACAACGCCGGCAAAGAGACCGTGGCTGCTCACCTGTTGAGTATACACAACGTATGGTATCAGTTGAACCTGATGAGGGAAATTAGGCAGTCCATCATTGAGGATAGGTTCCCTGCATACATCAGGGAGTTCTTTGGTGGCTTGTATGATGACAAGGCAAAGTACCCCGAGTGGGCAGTAGATGCTCTAAAAGGGGTTGGTGTAGATTTGACAAAATAGTAAAAACATGTTGATACCCACGAGGAGATTTTGGAGTAAGCTAAATTGCCAAAGAGAGTATCTGCGATGGCCTTACCTGTCGCTTTTCTCTCGTCTGGAACTCGATGAGAATATCGAGACACGGCAAGGCCGGGTACGAGAGTAATTCAATCTGTACCATCTCAGCGACTTGCGCCAACTGCAGCGAGCGCGCGCGGTCCAGGACGGCGGCGCCAAGTCCGGTACCCATGATCCGCATTCCGGCGAGTCGACCGGGGTGCCGACCCGGAAGCCCCATCAATTCACGTGAACTGCTGTAGCGCACGGACCTCCGTCTCCACTCTCGGCTGGTCTGCCCTAACGAGTGTGCACACTATCGCGTCTTTTTTTTCTCAACTCAGCGACGACCGACGGCAGCCTCCATCTCGACAACTCACTAACCCCCGTCCACCGTTCCCAGCAACCACCTGAGCCAATATTGCCAAAATGGGTCGCGTTCGTACCAAGACCGTCAAGAAGTCCGCCAAGGTCATCATTGAGCGTTACTACCCCAAGCTCACCCTGGACTTCGAGACCAACAAGCGCATCTGCGATGAGATCGCCATCATCGCCTCCAAGCGCCTCCGCAACAAGGTCAGAATACCTCCCGAGAGAGGCGCGCTCCCGGGGCGCCTTTTGGGCCACGGCGAGCGTGCTGCGAAAAATCTCATGAAGAGAAGGGGGAATTTCATACTGACGGTGGATTGAATTGCAGATTGCTGGTTACACCACGCACTTGATGAAGCGTATCCAGCGTGGCCCCGTCCGCGGTATCTCCTTCAAGCTCCAGGAGGAGGAGCGTGAGCGCAAGGACCAATACGTCCCCGAGATCTCCGCCCTCGACTTCACCCAGAACTCCGAGAGCGGCCAGCTCGACGTCGATGTCGAGACCAAGGACCTGCTGAAGCACCTTGGCGTACGTCTCTCTCCCCCCAGACACCACGGCGGAGGACCTGCAGCCCCGCGACAACAGATAGTGATGGCGATGCTAACTTGCCGTGACACAGTTCGACGCCATCCCCGTCAACGTCATCCCCGTCGCCCAGACCCAGGTCCAGGAGCGCGGTGGCCGCCGTTTCGGCGACCGCCCCCCTCGTCGCGACTAAATTATTTGCTCAGGAAAGAAGGAAAAATCGGGGTGGAAAAGTTTACGGTCTCACGGCAACGGCAACGGCATATCATGATACATTGCTACAGGCGTCTCGAGGACGGTAGTGAGTTGCATTTTAGGAAACTGGAAAAAAGTTTCTTCTCCCACACAAGGTGTCGCCGATTCTCCTGGAGCACTCCGGAGATGACGCTTGATTGCCAATACCACCCCCCTTTTTACTGTGACGATTCTCTCTAACCGTGAAGCTCTGGCCCTGTCGAACCTCTGTTGATATGCCATACAATAGTACCGACGTGGTGACGCGGCACGAGAACGTGAGATTGAGGCTGAAATGCTGTCAAAATGCTGGCTCGCCGCTTTTTGGGGGGTATCAAATCTACTTCCATCGATGACCGGTTTAGCTGCCAGCCATCGGGCCAGTCCACGCTCCAAATCCATGCTCCAAATGACCCAAATTCTTCTGTAGTCCTACATCATGACATTTCTGCGTCGGCCTTCTGAGCATCCATCAACTTTTCCAGTTCGGCCATTTCAACTTGAGCCTGCGTCTTTCCAGCTCCCGGCCTGTGACCTTCAACTAGCATATGTGCATCGTCAGGTCCTGCCGTAAACACGCCCTCCTCTACGGGCGGTTTCGTCTCCCTTTCTCGGATAGCCAACGTCATCTGCTTGCCCGGCGTAGCCTCCTTCTTCACCTCTCCTCGCTCTAGAGCCAAGGTCGCAGTCTGGTCTCCCGCCCTCCTGCCCTCCTCCAGCCTCAGATTGGCCAGGTCCCGCGCAGCCTTCGCGGCCAGGTCCTCCGCCGGCTTCTCCTCGCCCAGCAGCTCAATCTCAATGTCCGGGATGCCCGCGCGCTCCCACGCGGCCGTCTCGTTAAGCTGGACCTTGACGTAGAGCGCGCGGCGCTGGCAGTCCTTGGAGCACCACTTCTCGGACTCGCGGCGGTTGACAATGTCAAAGTCGCTGCGGCCGACGTTGACGAGCTTCCACTGGCCGCCCTTGGAGGCGGCGGGCTTGGGCTGGGCGCAGAGGGTGTAGCCGCACAAGCCGTTGACGTTGCGCTCCTCGATGAGGTCGTCGTAGTCGGAGGGCTGGAAGAGGCGGACGTTGGCCTTGAAGTCGGCGACGTCGCGCGGGGCAGGGTTAGCGGAGGAGTGGCGTGGGCTGCCGCGGACCGTCGGGTACTCGGAGAGGAGGGCGAGGGATTCGAGGATCTGGAGCTCGAGCTCTTTGCGCTGGTGGATGATGCGGGCGTGCTGAATAGCGATCTCGCGAGGGTCTGGTCTGGGTTGTTCTGGGGGAGCAGCTGGTTTCTTGAGGATGCCCTTGAGAGGCCGGGCATCGGTGGCCATTTTTGGAATTGAGGTTTTGGTGAATTGGAGGTTGGAGTGTGGATGAAGGTTCGGTTGTGGGCTGTGCTGGTTTATGGAGATGGACTTGAATGACGCGAGAGCTGTGAGAGTTCAAAAGCTGACAACGACCGTTACTGTAGAGAGTGGTTGTGAGACAGAGTGAGGTCTCGGGGCGTGACGAGAGTTGCGACAGCAAGGGCGGCGATTGGTGAGAATGAAAATTGTTAAGGCGCGTTGGAGAAGATTCGATGCTGCTTGAGCTCGCGACCCCACATTCAGATCTGGTGCTCCGAGGTGGTGCTGGAGCAGTGCAGACGAAGACAATTGGTAAGAAAAGGTACGTATCGATGAGGGGCCAAGCCGGGCCGCTACATTCAGGTCCCTTAGGTAAGGTACACAGCCAGACAGCTTTGCTGAATCCTAGGTACATAGCATTATTTGACCAGACGTGGTGGCTCGGGGCTCGCGGGTGGCTTGGCTGGCACGCAGTCCGGTCTCTCGACCACCATGTAGGATGATCTCATTGGTGCAGGTAGCTGAAGAAAAGAAGCGCATTCTCGTCCGGTCCTCACCTCCAACACTGGTTCGACCGGCGCTGACGGGGTTGCCCTGTGCCACAAGCACCGTTCGGTTACCTAATGTTTGTATGGATGGATGGATATGCTCAGAGTCGTGATCTGGGATGATGGCTGTGGTTGCCTCTCCAAAGGATCCCCCGCTCTCCAATTCAAGGCGTGAGCCACCTCAGCTGCCAGGCATACCTACCTTGCAGCATCAGCCCGACGACCTCCGGCTACCTGCCTGACCAACATCTGCCGCTGCTACCCAGTTGTTGGCGTTGATCTACCTTTGAAAGTACCTTGCCGTGCCTACCTTAGTAGATAGGTGAGCAAGTGAGGTACACCACCTCATCTTGCCAGCCAACCACGCGCTCCGTCGAGCCTGGCTGTGCCTCGTGCTGCGCTGGCCCATCTTAGTCCTGCCGTTGCTCCCGTCCATGACGGCGTACGGCGAGACTGTTTGAGAATCCTGAAGTGAAGCATCACGTCTAATAATATTCCCTCCGCCTTCGCCTCCTTCGAGAAGCAACCCAAAATCCACTCCACACCCCGAAACCCCGACTGCTTGCAAAGGCAACACACAACACCACATATCAGACAGTGACACTCTTTCTGCCCCCGTATTCTTGGGACGACGTTATACGAACGAACCCCTGCTCTTAGCACCGCCTGCCAGTCACCGTACATACCGACCAACCTAAGATACGGATAATCAGGTGCTATCTACGGACACTGACTGAGAGGCACAGCGCACCTTGGTGAGGCGCTGGCCCGCCTAGGCAGACATATTCGACGAGATTGCCCCCCTCCCATCGGCCAGCTTCCCGCCCGCATAAGGTATTGCGGCTCCCGTCCCTCTCATCCTCCCCCCCAGCGAAGCGACGCAGACGCACCACAACCACGCAACCTCCCACCCCCGGAAGCTTGGGCAGACAGCCAGCCAGGCCTCTTTCTGCTGCAACCAAGTGACAGAACACCAAAAAATCATTTGTCACCGTGGCCCAAAATACTGCATGGAATTCTCCATTCTGCGCCCCAGGCTGCATACATGACTCTTGTGTGCGCATAGGTGTCCCTCCCAGGTAAGGGCCCCCAATTGCCCCGGCACATTGAACTAAGAGAGTTGCAAGTTCATGCGCTGACGTCGACACGCCAACTGTAGATCCCTCCACCCCCGTCTTCCTCGTCACAGGTCACAGCCTCTCTCTGTCTCTCTCTTTCCTCCGACAAGACCCCGTCGGTTCCCAATCCCAGGTCACCTCAACCCCCCTCCATCGGTTTGAGAAAATCCGTCCCTCCCTCCGGCCACAACTCGCGATCTGCTCATCAACCCATCGCCAACCCAGCGCGTTTGTGAGCTGTGGCTGCTGCTAATCGCTGCTGCCCGAATAACGCCCTGCTATTCGCTTCCCGCCCGCTACTGCAGCCAACAGCCCATCCATCCCATCAGTGCAGCGCACCGCAGCGCCCCAGGTCAAAGCTGCTGACGACGATTCCGATTCCGTTGCCCCACACCCCAGAGCAGCAGCTCGCCCTGACCTGCTCGACTCCTCTTCCAACTACCTACAAACCAACACGAACGACGACAACCCGCACACCCCCGACGACGACGATTTGAATATTGCCGGCCATGTCGACCGTCCCCTTCAGGGTCAAGGCCCTGTTCGAATACTCTTCGCCCCACGACGATGATTTGCAATTCCCCGCCGGCGTCATCATCACTGTGACCGATGAGGAGGATGCCGATTGGTATGGCGGGGAATACGTCGACGACTCCGGCTTCAAGCACGAAGGCATCTTCCCTCGCAATTTCGTCGAGAAGTTCGAGCCCCAGGCCCCGCCTCGCCCGACGAGAACGCGCAAAAAGGAGCCCGAGGTCACATCTCCCGCCTCCGAGCCGAGCGCGCCAGCTCCCCCTCCCGCTCAGCCAGAGCCCCTGCCCGTCCAGGAACCCGAGGTTCAAGAAGAGCAACCTGCGCCGCCCGTCCCGGCTGCTCTCCCCGCCTCGCCCGAAGCTCCCGCAGCTCCCGAACCCGTGCCCGTGAAGGCACCCGAGCCTGTCCCTGAGCCAACCCCGGCAGCTCCGGCCCCGAAGCCTAGCGAGCCTCCTGCGGCAAAGTCGCCCCCCATCGCCAAGGCATCTCCTGCTCCTTCGAAGCCGGGACCGCCCCCGAAGCCTTCCAGCAATGCATTCAAGGACCGCATTGCGGCTTTTAACAAGGCTTCTGCTGCGCCCATCACACCTTTCAAGCCCAGCGGGTTGGCTGGCGGAACCGGTTTCATCAAGAAGCCCTTTGTTGCTCCGCCGCCTAGCCGAAACGCATATGTACCGCCTCCACAGCAGGCCCCAATTGCAAAGGTCTACCGGAGAGACGAAGACCCCGAGATACAAGAGCGAGAGGCGGAAAACCAAGAGACTGCCGAGAAGGCGGCGCCGGCTGCCGCTGCGACCGAGGAAGGCGAAGATGCCCCGAAGCCGTTGAGTTTGAAGGAGCGCATGGCCTTGCTTCAGAAGCAGCAGTTGGAGCAGGCCCAGCGCCACGCAGATGCCGCCGCAAAGAAGGAGAAGAAGCGACCCCCGCCCAAGAAGCGTACCGACAGCCAGGAGGCTACTGAGGAAGCTGGAGGAGCTTCGGCTGCGGCGCCCGAGAGCCAGGACGCTGATCAGGCGGCGGCACGAAGCTCTATCGACTCTCCTCGCATGCCACCACCCGCACCCAGGCGCAAGTCCTCCCGAGGCCCTGCTGCCGACGACGGAAACGACGCCGATATGAGCGGTGCCGGCGATACCACCGAAGGACAGGAAGACCTCACTGAGCGGGACGACAGCGATGCGGCGCCGCGCCCCATCCCCCGACCGCAAGTTGCGTCGCCTACCGAGACACGTCAAGAGGACGCACAGGAGGAGGAAGAAGAGGAAGAGGACGACATGGACCCCGAGGTCCGCAGGAAGGAGGAGCTTCGTGCGAGAATGGCCAAGATGAGCGGTGGCATGGGCATGCATGGCATGTTCGGAATCCCAATGGGTGCACCGGCCCCGCCGAGGAAGAAGAAGGTCGAGAAGCCTGCTGAGGCACCTGCGG